TCTTGTCACTGATATCCAGCAAAATAATATTTCTTAATTTATAATGATATGTATTTTGAGATAACTTTTCTAAAAATATGATTCAAAATTTTCTTAGAAAGTTTTAATAATTATGTTGGGAGCTAAGACCTTTAGTTAATGTAAAGTAGTCTATTCAATAAATGCCTTGCAATTAGAAACAATAGAAAGGGACAACACTCAGTATTTTCCAAATGTGAAGAGAACAGCAAAAAAATCTTTTAATAATCCCCTCTTCTCTCCCTCCCACATTAACCCATTTTGTATTAAACAAAGGCATACACATATCATTTTTGTTGCTGAATACATTACCCAGTTCTTGCTTAAACATGTTACTTTAGATTACATATGGCTGTAAAAATAACTGGTTGGACCAATTTAAACTGCTGATTATAATCTCAATTTTGGCATGAGGAAATTTATTACAAAACTTGTTTAGGACTGCAGATGTATCTCTGCCTCACAGCTGTAAGAAAAGGGTGGATTTGCAATGTTCCCAGTGTACAGATCTTAGTGAGTGTCTGAAAGACTCTTTAGCACAAAGCTAAAACATGTCACTAAAAATACATTGCTTTTTTTTCTAACTTAGTTGGAAGGCAAATGGTGATAAAATGAAAATTAGGAACAATGCTGTATGCCTATGCAATTAAAATATTCTTTCATGTGTAAATAAAATGCTCCTTAATAGCCCCAAATATTTTTTTTTCCAGTCTTTTGGGCTCAGTGGAATTTGGCAGGACTGGGCGTGGTTAAGGGTTGCCGGCATGTCGGATGACATTGGTTAGCTGTCATCTGGGCAGAGCCTGTGGGCTGGTGGGTAAGGCTGACTACACACACAGACATGATTAGAAGGGATGAAGATGTGGGGGTAGTTATGCACCTGCCTGAATTCCTGGCCACTCAGTCATCCCTTTTTATCCTCCATTCCCATTATTTTTATAAAATAGACTAAACCAAACCAAAAACGGTGGAGGATGGAAGAAGACATGTCCATTTCATAACTCAGTCTTAACCACACAAAAGGACTTTATTGATATGTTTTACACACTTTTGTTTAGTTGGGTATTATAACCACTAACTGCTGACCACTGAAACTAATATACTGCTTTCAAGACATAAAACCTCAGCACACATCTTGGTGGCTAAGTGTGAGAATAGCTGCATAACCATAGCACTTAACAGCCAATACTCAAACTCTTTCTTTAAGGACTACTTTAACCATGCTAAAAAAATCTCTATTTGTACAGATGTTGTTGTTTAACTGATACGCCCATAATGTGACTAGGTATTGCAAACTTGGTGTGTACTAAGCCAGCAGTAAGTTTACCCATTCACTATGGCAGATGCCAGACCCATGTGCACTAAAGGGCCTACAATTCTCAACTATGTGAAACAGACCCTTGCCTCCATGTAAAAATGAGGTAGGACCAAAACCAAGAACTATCTTCCAGTGGTGCCAAAGCAGTGGTATTTCAAGTACTTTTATATCTTCTGTGCATAGATATATGTGCATGTGTACATTCAAGGTAGGATAAGAACTATAATACAAGTATTAAAAAAAAGGGAAGAAAAACATAACAATCAATCTTATTGATGTTGGCAAGTCTGAGATTTTTTTTCAGGTTTACTATGATGGGGTTCTTAAATTTTGGATCCTAAGCTGACGGAGGAAATCATTCTTAATTAAAAAAAAAACAAACAGGTGTCTTGTGAGAAGTCTGGCCTGACAAGAAACCCAATGAATGCAAAAAAGGTGGCAAACAAATCTCTAAGTTTCAAGATTTGTCAGTCTGTGTACAAGAGCTAGTACACCAGGCACAGAAAAAAGGGCAAAGGGAGGTAAGAATATGGTGTTAACTTGTTATTCCCTCTACTGGAGAGATAGTTATATAGAAATTCTCATGTGCTAATGCTTTCTTCCAGATCTGTGTACAGGAACAAAAAAAGAACAGGGTTTTTCTTGGCGGTCTTAATATCAGGTACTTGAGCATCATAACCAAGGCATAAATTATCAGAGTTCTATCTTACTGCCTCCACAGAACTCACTTCCACTTAAGCTGAAGGAGACTTGTCTTAGGCTCTTTGTATTTCTTCAGTTGGACTAGCTCAGTCTGACTCCAGCTTCATTGTTTCCTTCGGCTAGAAGGAAAAGAAAACTCTTTGATCTCTTGTAAGAGCAAATAAATTCTTCTCTATCTTTTGACACTTACTGTATCAAGTTCAAATAAAAATCTCTGCCTTGGCAGACAAAGAAAGTCTTCTAAGCAATATTCAATTCCCAGAACAGCCTGAAGAGATTAAATTCTCTAGAATCTAAGATTAGATTCGCTATGTTCTCTGATATGTATGACTAAATCCCAGTACCACTAGTGAGATAAGATGCAGTTCATTGCAGCCTAAGCTCTCTCCTTAAACTCTTAACTTTTACTGTTCTTAACAGCAAGAATCTAGCTATGAGCTAGTTGACTCTCAAGTGAATAATTTTATTTCAGTATGAACAGAGCACCCATTTTGACACCTGACTGGATTTTTAGATGTCTCATTTTTACCTGACCAATGGGTAAGGATGGAAAGTGTGATTAAGTCTATACCACTCTACTTGTTCCACTTTGGGTTCTGAAAGAATTTTGATACTATTAAAATACATGACATAAGCATATAAGCAGAAAGGCATAAACAAAGGGGAAAACTCAGATTTAATTTTAACATTTAACTTACACACAAGAAAGATATGGCAGTTGCAACTGATACTGTTGGCTTAATACCTAGTTCTTGGCAGTGAAAAATCATACACAGTATACCTTTACTGCTCTTTAAAATTTTTCATTCTGAAGACACCAACACTCAGTAATTAAGTACAGCTGCCATAGGAATGCAGAAGATATAAAATACAATTTTTTTCTAAAAAAAAGCTTAAATAAAAAACACAACTACAGAAAGAACTAGTAAAGAAAATAATAGCAAAAATGTCATTCCTCAAAGCAGAATTTTCACAGAAATTGGTGTTTGAGATGCTGGCTAGTACCAAGAGGTTGTAAAACTTGGAAACTAAACACCGCATGTCAGCAACTGCCATTATATAGAAGGCTTGCAGGTGCTGGGTTGTAGAATGTGTCTGGATTCTTGGCCACAGGAGAGTCAAGTGTTTCTCATTTCCCTTGTCAGAAACACCTCTCCTCCAGCAGAAGACAATAGTCAAGAAGAAGAATAATACCAGCAACAACTGATATCAGAAGAGGATTTGGAAGGACTCCTATGAAGAAGATATTAGTTGCCAGTAGGTGCAAGATGCCCCCAAGGCAACTAATTTCTATTTTCAACTGTTTGAGACACTAAACCCAAAGGCATCTGGCTAAGAAGATACTTGGACAAATAATTCACAGCCCACCTCTTCTTGAGCTGAATCCTTCATGGTGCAGCTTAGGCAAAAATGGATGTCTAAAAGTATATTCCACAATAGTGCATCAAATCTCTCTCCCAATGTAATCTGAGAAATGCTCCTTAGGAACAGCAACCAGACTGAGCCTCTCTTGACTTACCAGTAAAAACACTGTCCCCAGGAATTTGTGATGTCCAACGAGCTCCTGTGTTTTAAGGATCAGCCTTGGACACTTTTTTGCCTGAATAAGAACCCAAGTGCAATAATATATTTTCTTCTCTCACTTTCAAAGAAAGTTTCCAACCCAAAGTGTGGCCAGGATGGAACATTGCTATGACCAAAGCCCCTCTCTTGCAGCCCTACAAACAGTGCTCCAAAGTGGGACCCTTTGAGCTCTCTGGAGCAGCAGCTGTGACCAGCAAAGCCCCTGTGAGTGGGGCCTCTCAGAGCCAGAGAACTCCCAAGTTTCCTGTATTTGGAAGATCCCGACTCCTTGAGGCTCCACCCTTCACAAAGGCATCTGAAGTGGGTATTTCACTACTTTGAGGGGAATTTGTCACCTTGTACAGGCTCTGTGTGCCTGTGTGCATGCAAGTGTGAATATTCTGTACCAAGTGCACAAGAAATGCTGCTCCCCTAGATTCTCTAAGTACTTTAGATTTGTAAGTTAGGTCTGTAAGTAAGTTACTGTTGTGGTATAGTAAATCCTATATGAATCCTTTGCTAAATCATTTAACTTCAGTTATAAGTTATGTGGTATAGTTTTTGGTTTATTTCAGACTGGACTGATTGAGTCCAGGTTTTCATTTGCTTTTCCTCAGTGTACCCTTAAGACTGAACCTTGCCAACAAACCTTGTCCTGCTGTTGCTTTTATACTGGACCTGTTTTTACTGATGCTTAAAGCATCACCAGCAAAAAATAGTCTGAAAATGTTCTTTAGTCTCTGTAGTGACAGACACTCCACTATGTCTGAAGCACAAACTAGCGACTGAGATGAGACAATAACCCCACAAAACTCCTCCCTTTCAAAACAGAGCAGGCATTAGGACCACAAAATGTTTTAGATAAAAACAGTTTGGAAGGATTACATTCAATATTTTTAACTTGAAATGTGACCTATTCACTGCCTTGTACTGTACCTCAACCCTGCTTCTGTCCAGGAATCCTTCATGTTTGCTAAAGATGTGTGATTCATACACAGAAGGCCGATCTTAAAAACTACTAACAGGAGCAACAAAAACTCTAAACTAGTTTCTATTCTTCTATTCTAAGCTTTCTGGGGCAGAGTCAGATATTAGATAATAGGGTCACCATATAAATACTTGAATAGAGGATTCCTGCTATACCTCTTTCTGAAGAGAGTACCGCATTTATGGAAAAATATGCAAAACTGAAAATGCAAGAACAACAGGCACAAACATCTGTTGACTCCCACAGCACATAAGCACTTGAAAATGGATACAATCTGCTCCTTCAAGACACTGATAAAAGTAAGTTGGAAGTATTTCTGAGCTACCCCTCTTTCATGGAAAATCCTCTGTATCATGTGTCTTGGAAATGAATGTATTTTCTCCTCATGTACTAAAGATAACAGAAGCAATGTAATTTTGACTGGTCCCAAGGGCTTTTATTTTTTCTTTATCAGCTGTTCAACACTGAATAAAGAATGCCAATGTACAAGTACAAAAGTCAGGAAGTATGAAAAAGTAATCCTTTGGATTTAACTTTACAGTGACAAAGAAACACAGAGAACAGTGGAAACTTATTTCTGAAAGACCTTGCTCTAACAGAACTGTACCTAAAATCCAGTTGTGAGAAATCCAACAATGTCCAATTCTGTAAAAGCCTGTGAATGCAGTGCCTGAATGTCAATTTTATATCAGCTCATAATTTAAATTCAGCCTTCATCATCGCTGCTGCTCCATGCATCTTCATATGCTGGATTTACATGTTGTTGAGGCAGAAACTAGGGAAAATAAAAATTCTCAGTGTTTTGCTTAATTAAAAATACTACAATCAAATAAGGGCAAAGCTAAATGCACTTTTTAAATGACTACATGTAGACAAACTATTCTTTCATCAGTACTGGATTATTTTAAACTACCTTTTTAGAAATTCTGCTGATTTGAGACATAATAAATTATGAAAAGAAATAGTACTGTATTTAATTTCAATTTCAGCATAAAATATCTGGAGGACTGACTGGAAGTATTACAAATATTTGGTACAAAATGTAACAAATGTTGTAAGGGTGTTTATTGTGTGCCACTGCTTTAATTTAGATCACAATATCCTCAGCCCATCATAACTTAACATTCAGTTTCATAGATAGAGGCAGCCCTGGCCACTATCCACATCCAAGAAATACTTCTCACCTCAACCCCACTAGGGTCCAACTAAAGGGTTTGTAGCTATGCAGTGCAGTGAATCACAGTGACTTAGGGTAAATTATTTTTCTTGTTTACTTCTATTCTGGGTTCAGATTCTGGTCATAAAAGCACTCAAATGCCTATTCTAGCACCTGAGACAAAACATGAATTAATGGCCTGTGGGCAGCAAAACAGCTTCATACAGAGAAATCTCATCTACAGCATTTGCAAACAGCAGCTGTAGCTTAACAGATTTCAAAACAATGGCATATATTACATACTGCCACTGTGTCAAATTTAAAGGAGCAATTCTAATCAGAGCTAAGTAAATAATGTTGTTGCTGTGGGTGTTTGTTTTTCAGACTAAGAAAAATCCAATTTCTTCACATCAAAATTATCACAGCAAAAATGTTAGTTTCAGGTCCACACAATTTGGGTTTAGGGTATCAGACCTTTGGAACTGTATTTTTCTTCTCTGCTTAAGTGAAGGATAGTTTTGAAATACAAAAGCTTACAAAAAGCAAATGTTACAACAATTTTATGTTTCTTATAATTTCTCCATCTAAAATGGAATGATGCTGAAATTTTAAAAACTGGAATTTTCACATGCTATGGGCCAAAACATTAATACACCCTCATTTTTCAACATCAGTACAGTTTGCCAGACTCTGATCGTGTGAATGGTTTCAGTTCCTTAAAATATAGACTTTTTGGCACTCAGGCTGTTCACTGAAATATTTCTTGTCTGAGAAAGTACTCTACTGGAAAATAGTCTTACATATGATCTTCCCTGCAATCACCCTGAATGTCTTGTCCCGGGCCTTTGATATTCACATCAGAAATATTTGTGTATGAAGTGTGGTATCCCTAATCTTACTAATTAATACACAGTATATTCTTAACAATTTAAAATACAATCTAGAACCTCTACAATTCCAAAACAGGACAAACTGCAGAAAGCAGTTTGGAAATGAAAGAAGAAGAATTTGAAAGACCCATAGTCAAATGACATGAACTACTTTTAACTAAGTAGGAAGGTAGCAGCCTCCAAAAGATTTGGCTAGACTACAAGAGAAAATGCTTTTTCAAAACCCTACAAGAATCAAAAGATTGTAGAGAAATAATAGGTGATTCTCCTCTTAGTTAGAAATTGTTAAAAATATTGGTAGTGAATCACATACTTCATATTGACTTTCCACACAACCTGCCCAAGTATAACAGCCACAAAAAAGTACAGTTCAAACTCAAAAATTCACTACCTTTTCAGAAGTATCATCAGGAACTGGCTCTCGTGGAGCTGGTACCCATGCAAGGATATTGCAGTCTTTGCTACCACTATAAAGTTCCTGTAAAAAAACAAGTGAAAGTTACTTTCACACAAATTTAGTGAATAGTGACATAGATAACCATACTGGGCAGAAAAAAAGGTAGTGAATATTATTTAAAAATAAAGGCAAATAGTAAATTTCTAATTTATATTATAAATCTGGATAAGTAGTATTTTAAATAATATGCCAAAACAAAATTAATATGTTTTTATATTTTTTCCCAGACTGCTCACCAAAACAGCAAAACCACATTAAAATGAACTGTGTTGCTTAAATACATTTTTCTTCTTCCCTCTCTCTAATCTTCCGAAAAGATACCTATTTTAACAGTTAGGCACCTTAAGAGATTGTTTATGGACAAGTAAAAAACCTGAAAAAACCACACAAAAGATAAATATTCTCTTATAATTAAAACCCAGGAATAAACTGAGAAGAATCAAGAATCTAGTAAGACACATCAGAAAAGAGAATATGTATGGAACAAACAAGTATTAAGCAAATAAAGTTTCAGTATGCCTAGGGAAGGAAAAGAAAAAAGTAGAGTATGAGGCTTGTACCCTGTTGGGAAGGCATGGATCAGAAAGACTAATTTATTAATTTTAATATAAATAACTTTTGTAAGTTGTTATAGTAATGACTAAGGACTGAGATCCCATTGCACAAGGCGCCCTGCAACACATGGCAACAAACAGTCCTTATATCAAATAGCCCTAGGTCAAATATATCTTAATTTTCTTACTGTTCTTACTAAAGAACAGTTCTGTAGTTCTGTGCTAAAGGAAATACAGACTCCTCTGTCACTCTAAGATGAGAAAATTTTGCTGGTGAGAAATACTAACACCATCTTTGCAGTAAGTTTTGCACCTATAACACTTGCATTTTCCGACATGCTTAAATTAACAGGTATGAAGATATTCTCATATGGCTACAATACTGAATTATATTCCTGCTTATTTTATGTTATGTCTGACAACACTTGAGTATTGTCATGTATTTAAACTTCCTGAGTGAGACATATGGGTTTTTTTGTAGTATTCACGCTCACAGTATGAAGAACGAAAGCCTTACTTTACGTATGCTGGTTTTTACACTTAAACTAGCAACTCTCTGCATATGTGCACTTTATGAGTATGTTGATTCAATGTAAGCTCAATATATTATCACAGGTCTGTCTTTGCAGGAAGTCTCCTATATAATTTATATATAATTAGAACTGCATGAATTATGTTGCCATACTTTTCAAAAGCTGGTACTATGCATGAAGTTGTTCATGCATAAAGAACATTCAAGATAAGAGTCTGCAATTTTAAGAGACATAACCATCCTACTTACCTTGCTTAAAAGAAGATATGGTACACCAAAGTATAGGTCAAACTCTACTTTATTCTGTCAGCAGTACTCTACTTGAGCCTTCTGTCTTTGATAGAATCTAGAATATCACTAAGAACTTCAAAAGATCTTTCTATGCCAAAATATCTCCTTATGAGCAACGTCACGGTGACATCTGCATTCTTCCATTTTAATCCTTCTTACCACTTGTCTCACTTTCTGATCCTGGTATGGCAAGATCTTCAGCTAATATCCACTGCATTTAGCAATACTTAAAATTAATTATTACTACCTGAACTGGTGACTCACACCATAAGTCAGTCAAAAGAAGAGCTAGTGACCTCTATGTAGAATTATGTCATAATACAAGATAGACACATATATTGCACTACAAACATGCTCTATGCATGTTTATAGTACAATATATGGAAAGACTGCAAATGAAACCTAATTTAACTTCCAGTTAACTTTATGTAATAGCCTACTACTGGATTTGCCAAATACCTTTGCAGATGTCACTAGCATTCTTGAGCAGTATGAGCAGCAGTATGATTTAAATAAAAATTGCTTCCTGTTGCACACCTACTATTTTATGACATGTTATTCATACATGATGATTTATGCGATTTCTTTTTCTGAAAGGGAAACATAGGTCTTGTTTGTTTATTTAAATCATTCTAAGCAGGCACACTGGTATCTAGTATGTTAGATCCAACTGTAAACATCATCTAAGATATTGCACAATGAAGATTTTCTCTTCCACACCACCCTTGAAATTACTGACCTCCTATTAAATTAATGCTTCTTATTAAAGGGCTAAATTCTGCAGTTCTTATTACTCAAGCAGTCTAACATCTTATTAACTTTATAGAGATATTTACGTAAGAACAGTACAGGCAAACAATAATATAGTGGATTTTATGGCTCTGTTCCTAGGATCAGAAAAGGCATATATACACACATTAACTAAAGCTCATACCACTCTCTGGAGACAGCTCTGTACTGCACCTCAAACATAAAAGGTATTTCACACAAACATGCTAATTAATTTGGATAAGAACAGATAAAGAGTAGTATAATTGAATTTCAAATAGCTAGCTGCTTGGTTATCAGTGATCACGTTTGATTATATGGTTCCAAGCAAACATGAGACACTTCTCATCTCAAATACATATTCATATATAAATTCAAATACATAATTGGTGCAAAGTTTAAGTTTCTTCTTAGAGCCTATTCTAGTTATGAGGTGAAACAAAGACAGCAATTAAAATAGAGTTAATGAACAAGAAGGACATGAGGGACTGACAGCAATCAATACTAATAGGAATTCTGAACACAGTAAAAAATAGTGAGAAAAACCTAAGGACCAGATTTAAGGATGGGTTGGACACAAATCAGTCACCAGGGTTAAAGACAGCAGGAAAGGTTTATAAGACTGTTAATATGAAGAACACTTAACAACAACAGAGAATACTACATGGAAATGGCCAGAACTACAGAAAAGATGTAGATCTTGTTTCTCATGAACACAGAATAATAAAGTCCAATTAAGTGCTAACAAGTAACAAGAAGGTTACAAAGCCACTGCTACACATTTCACCACTGTATACATCACAGATGTAAGCTATGTATACAGAAAAACCATCAAGGAAAACTTGCAGCTTGCTTAATTATGTTTTGATATGTATTTAAAAATTCCAAAGCTGAAAGTGAGCTGATATGCCATGCAGAAAGAAAAAAAGGCAGAATAATATAGACAAGAATGAACTGACATTTTTTAATCCTAAACATGACAATGGAAAAGATTATTGAATGATTAAGTTATTGTAGAGTTAAAATATAGATATATAAATATCACTCAAGAGAATTTGCAATAGAGCATGTTTTGTTAAGCAAAAGTGATTTTACTTAAAACTAGTAACAAAATACAAATGTACAGTTGGGAATAACTTTGCAGCATGTTGATTTAATAATACTTGAGAGAGTAAAATAGAAGAGGTGACTATAAATTTTACAAACAGTATTACATTCTCAGGAAAGAAATTTTACTGGCAAAATTGTAATTTCTATCAGAATTACATGAAGACTGATGAATGCACTTAGTTGTGTCAAGATAGGATAAGATACTTGGAAGTACATGTGTGAACACTGAAAATAACAGTAGCACTACCTTTGGTGTTCACATCCTGATTAGGATGTGTGGATTAGGCATGGCCTGGTTTATTGGTAGCAGGGGAGGGCCACAGGAGTAGCTTCTGTGAGAAGCAGCTAGGAGCTTCAACCATGTCCAACAGAGCCAGTCTCTGATGGCTCTGAAGATGGATATGCTGTGGGCCCAATTAGAGAGGTTGGTAATGCCTCTGTGATGACATTTAAGAAGAAAATCAAAACAGCGCACCTTTTTTTCCCTGGGGTAGTGAGGCACCATGGATGCCACCATCTTGGTGCAGCCCATGGCTTCCCCTGGCCTGGCCCCTGCCCCTGGCCAGCCGTGCTGCGGGCAGAGAGGGCAGGGGCAGCAGCAGCTTCCCCTTCCAGCACTCCGCAGGAGGTGAGGCGTCAAACAGCGCCGGCACCGCCCGCTGCAGCCACCACTGCTCACGTGGTGCCGGCCCGGCCACGTGGCTGATGGCACAAACATGGTGAACGACTCCCCAGCATGGAACCTAGACGAGATCAACTTCTCAGCCCTGTGGGGTCCTGCAGGAATCTGAATTTGTGGAACTTGTTGGCAATGGTACCTATGAGCAGCAGTTTTTCTTCTAGATAGAGAAGAGGAGGAGGTGAGAACATGTGAGGGAAAAGAACATGGTGACACCAAGGTCAGTGGAGAAGGAGGGGGCGGAGGTGCTCCAGGCACTGCAGCCAAGATTCCTCTGCAAGCCATGGTGAGGACCATGGTGAAACAGGCTGTTCCCCTGTAATGCTTGAAGTCCACAGGGGATGCAGAGATCCACCATGGGAAAAATGCTCATGCTGGAGTGGGTGGATGCAGAGAAAGCTGTGATCTAGTGGGAGACCTGTCCAGAAAAAAAGGGCCCCTGCTTCCAGAGACAGAGAGCCCTTGCTTCCAAAGTAGAGCAGCCTATCCTTAGAGGACTGCACCCTGTGGGTGAGTGACCCACACCACACCAGTTTTTGGGAAGACTGTTTGCCCATGGGAGGGATCCCACAGCATGGCAGAGGAAAGCCTCCTCTTCCTGAGTGAACAGAAGGTGATCTCCAGTGATGAACTGACCAAATCCCCATGCCCTGCCTCCCTGCACTGTCGCTGGGAAGAAAGGAGGGGGTGAGGGGGGAAAAAAGGTGTTTTAAAGGCTTATTTTACTTCTCATTATCCTCCTATGACTCTGATAATAATAAATTTACTTTATACCTTTAAATTTGAACCTGTTTTGCCCTTAGAATGTTTTTCTCCCAATCCTTACCTCAATTCATGAGCTCTTAGTTAATTCTTTTTTTCTCTCTCCTCTGCCTAACTGTAGCAGGAGAGGGTAAGCAAACAACTCTTGTGGATGCCTGGTATTAAACCAGTGCCAAATCATGACATATAGCAATGTTGTTTCTCAGACTAACTACTTAATACAACTGAAAGTACAGCATTTACAAAAAAAGAAAACCCAGTCATACTTCTACAGTACAGAACTGAACTCTGGAAAAGGGTGCTTCTGAAAGAGAATCAGTCACATCAGATAAGCAAATGAAGTTGATGACATCACAAACTTCTAGATACAGTGGCTGATGTAGTTCTTGTGTGCATATGCACACATAAGTGATCCTTTACCATGGATCTCAAATGCTAAGGTAGAGACACCACAAGTAAAACAAGTAAAACATGTTTTACAGAGAGAGACCTAATTAGCCTCACCTCTTCAGTTTATCAAAAAGAGCAGCAAAGATAGCTTTATATAAACACACTAGAAGTTTTGTTGGGAAACTGTTCTTGAAAAGACAAAAAGCTTTTCAAGAACATTCTGGAAAAGATGTGCTTTAGCCACAATGTGAATATTGCAGTCAATGTATCTCACTGACTATTAATACCAGGACTGCCTTCCAGATCTAGCAAGGTTTATTAGCTTGAGGTCTACTCATGTCCATAACGTGTCCGTAATTTTCAGTGAAGTCTGTCTCAGTAATACAGTCTCAGTGATTCAATCAAAGCTACTGGACACAAAGCAGAAGCTACCAGAGTCACTTCTATGATGAGAGGTCATAAAATGGTATCTACACCCCCATTCTGCCTCAAGTATTTCTGCTGATACTCAGAAAGAGCAGGAAAAGAAGGCAGAGCTGGGACATGAAGTATGATCCTTAATACAGGGGTCAACTATGTAATGGCCTGAAAATCCATACTATCATACATTCTGCTCTTGGCACAATACATGCCATATGAACAATCTGTTCTAAAGTATCTCATAACAAATTAACTTTTGTTATCCTTAAGTCTTTTATTACAAGAGAAAAATACACCAGAGTGGGATAGGAAAAGGAAAAAAAGGCAGAGAAGAAAAAAAAAATCTGTCAGTACCATGAGTCCCTGTAATGCTATGGTATTTCTCAGCTGAAATATTCTCTGATAAATTTAAGAATCTCACAATGTTGTCAGCACTTTATCCAAAGTGTAACTACAGGCACTTGAGCAAGATCCCCTTAGCAAAGTACTTGAGAGCCTTCTCAATACTCACTGAGAATGCACTAATGCACTTCACAGTCTTTCTTAATGTGATTAATGTGATTAATCTCTGAGAAAGATAACACCTCTTCCATCTTACAGAAAACAAAAGTCTTCACACATGTGCTTTATTAATGATTACACAGGCAAAAAAATACTAAAGGTATATTGAGAAGTTACATATGTGAGACGAAACAAGCAGTGGAAGGAACCTAATCCAGAAAATGTCATCCCAAAAGCTTGACTAAACTTTTCCTGGATGACACGTAAGCCACTCCCTCTTATGATCCTTGATTAAAGCATATCCCTGAAAAGTGAATGCTTTTATAGTGCAAATGGTATGTCAATCTGCATAAATATTCCTGCCTGTCTGGAATACTGCTTGTATTTTACTTACCTGAAAATGAGGTTGAAATACACAGCAGTTGACAGTACTATAGTGCCCTCTAAGCATAGTTATCATTTCTCCTGTGAAAACTGTATAAACAGCAATGGTACTTCCATATGGAACAAAGGCAAACTCTGGATTACAGCCACAAGAGATGGTAAATTTGAGTCCTTTCCTACTTTCATTACAGACTTTCCCATAGTTTACCTGCAAAATGAAAGATCACATAGATTACACAGTCAGCTATTAAGTAAAACCCCAGGAAATTATATTAAAAGGTCAATTTTACTTCATGTTTAATACTCAATAAAATTAATTTTGGGTTATGTTAATAAATCTCGTGATATTTCAAAGTACAGATGTCTATCAAGATAATTATTTTTATGTTCAATAAAGTTTACTCTTCTTAATATCAATTTGGAACGAAAAGAAGGAACGAAAAGAAGGAACGAAAAGAAGGAACGAAAAGAAGGAACGAAAAGAAAGGCCTAAAAACTAGCAATTCCACACTAAGGAATAGGATTTCAACAGGCTGTTGCATGCCAGATCTGCATCAAGCGCCTAAACCCTCACTGAAATTAGACATGGTTTAGGAATTACCACCTGTTGTGGTTTAGGAATGGTATTTTCAATTCAGTACACTCGCTCTCCTGCCTTGGGTTCAAAACACAATAGGCAGAGATCATGGATTGAGATAAGAACAATTTACTAGAAATAGCATTACAAAACCAAACAGTAAGAGCAACAATTAGTAACAAAAGGTATTAGTAACAAAAGGTATGAGACAATGAAATTATTTACAAGTTCAACAAAAAAGTACTGGACTGTTTTCTCCCAGGGTAGCTTTGATAGGAAAAATTTCTAAGAGCTTAATGGTGAAGTGTAAGGGAAGCCTTGCAAATTAAAATAGTATAAAAGCACCTTATTAACACCTGTACTAATGTCTCAAACTACAGTTTCATAGTTTCAAGCTGTTGACAAGTTTTGTACAGATAAAAATCTCATAAAAGATTGAAAGTGAGGTTTCCAAACATGTTTGGAAATATTCCAGTTGGCTATATCAGTTTAATTAGGTTCTATCAAACATCAGAAGTATATTTATGAAGTGACAGAGAAATATATTCATGGAAACAGTATAGCCTTCCTCGAAACAAGTTAATTAAAACAAAGCATTACAATTTGAACTAATTTTTCATGACGAAAATGCATTGTGTTAGAATATTTACACTATGAACTTCACAAATTTCTTAGCTTATAGTCAAAAGATTTCACAATTGGAATTGTTTTCCTTCTTAACTCTAGGCCTTCAGTTTTAGGTGGGGAGATTTAAGATTAACACAGAGAGCTTTGCTAATATTTTACACAACAGTGACATTGCTAAAAGAAAATCATAGGTATGGCTTTGTTTCTATGCTTTTTGAAAGATATAGAAAAGAAAGATTTAGGTCAAAAGGGTGGGCTAGTCAGGGAAATAAAAGGACTATGGTGTAAACTTGTAATACTTGTACGTGCATTCATTTCTTTGCTGATGTCTTAAAATTATTTTAAACAATACCTCTGGGCAGTGTGTGAAAATACAGTACTCTGGACAATACAACTCTGAACTTTAAAATGCAAAGCAGGGTCAAGCTATTCCACACCAGATTAGAAAACTGTAAAATAGCCTATGAAACAAGTAAATGAACTAACAGGCACAGAAAAACCAAAATCCAGTGATCCAGCTGGTAAGAGGAGAGTGAACAAACTGCATTATCTACTTTGGTGGTGGTGATTTGAAGACGGGAAGATGTTTGTGTATGAGGTGCTGAGAACAAGCTGGTGAATATGGGTAGGATGGAGAGAAATCTTTTTATTTAAATATCTATACAGAATTATTTTTGCTCTTTTCAGAAACTAAGCAGCACAATTAAAAGATTTCTGAGGTATAGCAAAATTTATTTCTTTCCTGATAGCAATGACAGACCATAATTACAGCTGACTAAAATTCCATGGACACTGACTTACCTAGTTTGTTCGTCTTTCAAAATTGACAAAGAAAACTATTTTCTTTACTGAACAGAAAAATAAAACAAGAACCTTCACCACAAAAAAATCCAAAAGCCATTGAAAAGACTGCAATATCAGTAGAGGTTTAGCACATTTCCCACCCCTCATTCCTGCTGCTGTGTGATTCCAACACAAATCTGGAAGAATGGATGAATAGATATTTTTAATACTGTCATGCAACTTCACAGGAGAGATTCCACAAAAACAGAAAGAGATTTGCAAGAAAGCTAGGCAGCCAGTGAAACTCTCAGGTATGGCCAACTGCTCTATGGATAGTACATTGGCAACTAATAGTTTAAAAAACCCCGAAACTTTCTACCAACAGTCACGGCTTATTCAAGTTTTTATTACTGTATGAAATATTTATAGCTATACTCTCAAATTCATGAACTTGGAGTTACCATATTAAATCTTTAAGTAGATTAGGGTTCTTCATACTCTTTTTCTTTGCAATAAGTAGAAGAGAAGAAGTCTGAAAGAAAACAATGTTCACCAAATGATCTAGTGATGAAATTAAGCAGCTACATCCTTTATGAAAGTGAAATCCAAGTTCTACTGCCAAATGCAAAAATTATAAATCTCTTAAAATTAAATGAAAGTAAAAATGCATCTGAAGTGCCTTGAAAACTTACTAAGGTGTTTTCTCCAGTGGAGCTATTCCAGAGTCGCATCCGATCATCTGTACCAACAGTTAGCAGGTGAAGTCCATCATTTGTATAGCATAAACCATTAACTCTCCCATTGTGAGCAGTGTTTGCTGCCGGGGAAAAAGAGCTGTCTCAGGTCTCTAGACAAAAGTTACTACTTTGCATATATTTTTACTTCAATGTGGAGCAGTGGCAGTGCTGTTTGAATGGTAACATTAAGTTAAAAATAATTTAATTTTTTGTTTATAAAAGCATCTGGCCTGCTTACAGCCACCAGCAGTGCTCCTCGGGGTGCAGTGCAAGGGCCAGTTCTGTTCAATCTATCATCCAGTTGTTGATGCCCCCAACCCGTCAGTGTTCCAGAGGCATTTGGACAACACCCTCAACAACATGCTGTAGCTTTTGGCCAGCTCTGAAGCAGTCAGGGTAAGGTCTCTCTGTACTATACTGCAGTACTTAATTTAGACATACCTTCTAGGTAGAAATACGACTGCTTTTTAAAGATTTTATTAGAAAATAATTATTACCTGCTATTGGTTTAGTTCATATACATTTCAATAAATTAAATACCCTAGCCTATACAATTGATATTTGAAAACCAAAAAATCATCTTGAACCTGTCTGACAAATATAAAGTTGAAAAGAAAGATGTTGTGATCGAAAAAGTCAACATGTTTTTCAAAGGAATGTATGAAATGGCACTAGTTATCTTTGGAGATACATCAAATTTTGGTTTTCATTAAACAGCATTTCTTCTTTTTTGACCAAGTACTAGCTTTCTTTAGAAAGTTTTCCTCTCAATTTTTCAACTTCAATCAATTTTGTATTTACATAAAGGCTAATCCACAGCATAAATGAATTCTTCCACTCACAAAAAAGATAACAGAATTTTCCATTTTAGAGGAAAGCCATTAAGAATAGATACACTGCTATCATTTAGGCAATCTCTCTAAACAAGGTCCCAAACAACAAAAACTGACTCTATAACAGAAGTAACTGAACAAAGCTGAATGGCCTCTGTTGTGTACTAAGTAACAACTGGATTATCACTACTCCCATTGCTGGTCTTAGTATTCAAAACATTAATGAAATATAAGAATTACTTTAGTTACATATGAATTACCACCAGTTATATTTTGTATTACCTGCTTCAGAAGATGCTTTGGACTTTTCTCCATTGTACTGATCAAGTGTACTCAGACATCCAGAAGCTCTCCTCACATCCCATAATTTTACTCTACCATCAGCACTAAGAAAAACAGATTTGCTAAAATTAGGGAAACAATGCACTACGGTTCAGGAGCTGTCTTTGGTCAACACACCTGGCATTCACCTTGGTCCAGCAACTGTTCTGAACCACTCACCATGTGGGCACACTCAAGTCAACAGAATTCCATTAGAAATATTTTAAGGCAGACTTCAGACTTTCATTTTCATGTGTTAATAACTCCAGCTGGTATACTATCAGGACCTAAGAGTGAATCACGATCTGTAACACAATACACTTACCTCTTTGATTACAATGTAACACCCTTGCATACACACATAGCCTGAGAATAAACTTGCTAAATATTCTGTTGCCTAAACTGTAACTTCAGACTCCAGCACGGTCTGTAATAGTGGTCTGAGAATTTGGGGTTTTGTTATCACAGATCTATTGTATGACTGGTACAAAAGCTGTCTACAAGCAAACAATTTTTCATCTGCTACAACAAGACAAAAACAACAAAAACCCCACAAACAAACAAACACAAACAAAGCAATCCCTAAACAACACACTGTTAAAACATTTTCCAACTTTGATAAGCCTTTCAGAAGCCTGAGTTCAGAAACCAAAAGTTTGCGAATCTGGTAACTTCACTGAACTGATAAAACTGCCATTCCACTAAACTTATGAAATAGCTGTTCTTCTCTGCAAAAGAAAATAAAACCATGGCATCTAAAAAGTGAGAAGAAAAATGTCACACAATAATCAAAAGCTAACATGTGAAAGTTATAGAATAGCCAAGAGGATTTTTTACATTAAAAACATCTGGACAGAAAACAAAAAAAAGCCCAGGAATATCAACATACAATCCATATTCACTGAATTACAGTCACTTGGAAAGTTACATCAGCTAAGCTACCCAAGTTATTCTTTTTGACATAAGTTAAGTGTCATTACCAGAATGGTAATTTGAGCTAATCATGTTTTACTTTATTACAACATGGATTAGCAATGTACACACTAATAAACAGTAAGAAGTGAGTATATCCTTAATATTCTACTATTTTCCTATACCAGTAGTTACAGGTAGTATTTCAAAACTTGCTATAAAATAAGCATGACTTGTTGACAGCTCTTCAGGTTTTGTTTTTCTAGGGAAAAGCTATAAAATTGTGAACAGGTAAAAGTAAATGAAGAAAATTAACTCCAGAAGTGCATTTGAATTGAAGTAAGTATGCCTAAAGAATGTATAAAATTTTTACTGACCAATATTCCAGTGCATGTAACAGTTCAGCAACATCCTTACCTTCCTGTTGCCAAAACATATTCATGACGTGGGGACCAAGCTACTGCCAATACTTCTTGTCTGTGACCTAAGAATTACATGAAAAAGTTTATTATACACACCATTTTGTGTAAATAACTGAAAGTAAAAGCAAATATTTAGTTGTATAGGATTCACCAAGGCAGAATAATAATTCAATTATTATTGAATTATTCAATTTAAATTTTGTGAAACTATATTATTTTGGGACAGAAGTTATTTCTGTCTCTTCTTCTTCCCTGAATGGGATTGTAGTGAGTAGAAAGGGATACACATAGTATTACATGAGTATAATTTTTGATAATAAAGATGGTTTTACCTATGCAAAACACATTACAACTCAGTCACAGCTTTTTGTACAGCACTGGTATTTTCATACATGGAAGGAACTTTCCATTTATTTTTCTTCAAATCCTTTAATAATGTTAAATTTAAACTATACCTACCATACATACTTACAATTAAAACTTTACTCGTTTTATCCTCTAAGAATTTTGTCCTGAATTTGTGGTATTTTTTTCCCTTAACTATTAAAGTATCAATGAAGCTAGTGAAGGGTGTTGAACACAGGTCCTGCAAGGAAAGCTGAGGGAGCTGAGGGTTTTCAGTCTGGAGAAAAGGAGGTTTGAGGGGACCTTACTGCTCTCAAAAACCACCTGAAAAAAGCTGTAGCCAGGTGGGGGGTAAGTCTCCCAAGTAACATACAACAGGAGAGGAAGTGGCCTCAAGTTGCACAATGGAGGTTTTGACTGGCTGTTAGGAAAAATTCCCATACTTTACAAATAAAATTCTGGCAGGAACAGGTTGCCCAGGGCAGTGGTTGAGTCGCTACCCGTGGAGATATGCAAAAGATGTATAGATGTGCCACTTAGACATGTAATTCAGTGGTGGATTTGGCAATGCTGGACTCAACGATCTGAAAGGTCTTTTTGTATATATATATGAATGTACATGTTTTTTGGTTTTGTTTTTTTATACACACACATGCACACACCCACACTTTAAAACTTGGCAAGTTATGTTAAATAAGTACAGAAAATGGGAAGGATAAGATGTCCTAAATGGAAAGACTGCAATCATGCTTCACACCATAACAGAAACATATTACTGAAAAATAAACTAAATCATAAAATACATTTTTGCTAACGCAGTTTAGAGGTGGTGTGAACCACCTTGTTCCTGGTGCATCTTCTAGTAGGTGCTTTCCCATTACCTGAATTAATCAAATCACTGTAATAACCAGGATAATAAGAAAAACCTCCAAGATACAGGCATTACAGGATACACTTAGAAGGCTCAGAGCAGACAGATTTATTGGGATCCATTAATTAAATTACAGCCATGCATATACCTCCATTTCAGCTGCTAGAGTTAGCCTATGTGAAAATATCTGTATGTATGGTCAAGATTGCTTCAGTTCTGTAAGGAAGATTATCTCTAATTAATAACATATTCTCCTTTCACTTATTCCTCCAATATTGCACTTGAGGTAACAGGCTATTACAGGCTGTGTACAAAGACACAACGGAGCTTGTTCCTGGAAAGCATTAACTCTTGTGTAAAAATTAAGAAGCCCTAACGAAACCAAACAGAATCTTTAGAGAACTGTTTTGGTCACTGCCCTGTCTGGAGCTCTTGGTTCTAGGAACAGAACATGAGATGCTTGTTCATAGAAGTTTAACAGCTTAAGCTCTGCATCACAAAAAAAATCACCTAGGCTCCTTTGAGACTTAGCTGACCAGTGAAGAAATAAAGCTGCATTTGCACATTGCTGTGTCTGAGTTAATGTTTCTCTACAGTTGCAGCATGAAGATTTGCTTCATGATTGCCTTCTCTTGAGCATGTGCATATATACTGACACTCCAGAAAGTACACATTAGAAAAGGGCCACCAAAGGCAAATTCTCACTGAGTGACAAAAGTAATGAATTATGGAACAATAAAACCTTACATTTAACTGAACTAGGAAAATAGAAATGATTTGGTAATATCCTTCTACAGAAAGGTTGTTCTACAGAAATGAGAAACTTCTAAACAAACCCATTCAAACATCTCCATGGGACACTTTCTTAAAAGCAATGAAATTTTCTTTTTGTTTCTTTTCTGGGGGGTGGTGTGGAGCTTCTCTTGTTTTACTTGGTTTTCTTTTTTAAAGACCATGTAAAACACAACTTGTTGACCCCATAACCCCCCAAATCAATGACTACATTTAACCATAAATAGTAATCAGTATTGATTAGACCATGAAAATGCCCTAACATCGGTAGTAACTGCTCATTGATTAATGTTTGTATTCTGCAATTCAGTAGCTCTAGAAAAACACCCAGAAGAACCTCTTGCCACTGTGTAACTTTCGCAACCGGCTACAAATAAATTAGTCATGTTACTGACAAAGAATACATTGTATACAGTGTTTCTTTACAGGACTTGTTTTTACTCAAAGTAGTTATTGTTTAACATTTATGTTTCAGACTAAAAAGTACCCTGCAGAATGTGAGAACTGGATCCAGACTTCAAGTCACAGAGCTGTACTTTGGGGCTTTTGGTACCAACTGTAACAAGAGAAACAAAGACAGCTAAAAAACCTCCCAGCATCTGAAACAACAACAACAAAAAAATCTTAGCAATGACAAAAAAAAAAAAAAAGAAGAAAAATGCGAGCTGCATAACTGCTCATTCAGTCAGAGCAATGCTTCTATTAATAAGATGCTTTATGCTTAATGCTTCTAATAATAGATTTACAATTTTAGTCCAAACAAATTTACCATGTAACAAACAAAATTTAGAAACTGGAAGTAAACAGGATCATACTTGGGAAACTTAAAAATATCTCCTCAAATATTTTTTTGCTAAACATAGTTAAATTGTATACATGTAAGCAATAAACAGATCTATTTTCAAAATTTACTATATTTGGATCTAATAACCTTTAAAAGATAACTTATCTAATGAAAGAATCTAATTACAGCTATGAATTTTATCAGTAAGGAGAACTGATTGATGCATTATTTCAGAAGAACAAATATGATACTCTCATTGACATCATCCAACTAATGGACAGTATTTTATTGTACTAGTAAATTTACATCTTATCAAGACTTGATTTATGTAAAAATAAGACAGAATAGGGGAAAAAACCCAACTGAAATATTACTTGCTTATTATTATAAACCTTATCTATCTCTATATATATATATCTGTTTCTTAAAAACAGATACATACCTGCTATTAAACAGTGCTTTGTAGCAATTGGAGACATATGATGGCTATAGACTGTTCCCTCAAAATGAAATATATCTGCAGGCTGATAATAAAAATATTAAATTAATTACAAAGCAAATATATTAGCAGAATGTAGATGCTCACCATTATTTTTCAAGTAACAGCTAAAAGTAAGACTAATACAAATATTACTATTTACATAGTAATGATAACTCTCCTGGTTAGAAGCCAGATAACACAAACATCACAGAGTAAGCCTGTTTCCAACAGCAGGACAGCACCAGAGCTCAGAGATGACCCAAAAGACAGACCAGGAAAACTGACAAATGAGAAGCAAGAATAGAAATTATTACAGTTACCAAAAATTAATAAAGCTAGTAAGTAAACAAAAAGGTTATAATATGGAAATAGAGTCAACAGGAAGAAGGCACTTCAGACTAAGTTTAAAGACCCTTTTCATTCACAAATACCACACACTATCTTCAACTCCCAAAAAAATAAAATAGTTCCATATAAAACTATTATCTGCCTCATGACTCTTTAAAACCAATGGAACATATTTACTTTAATAAGCTTTAATATTTACTTTAATAAGTACAATTTCTTCCAGGTAAACTGCTTTTTGTGTCTCATTCTAAAATACTGTGTATGAAAAACCTCTTAAGACTGAGTTGTCTGTACTTTCAAAAACACCATTTAGTGGCAGAACAGGTCATTCAATAACTTTTATGTGTACACTGTGTCTTTCAAGAGATGGTCACAAAACTAACTAACTATCTGGAAACTTAATTTTTTACCTTTAGCAACTGCAAACATAGATTTATATCTTAAAAAAAAAAAAAAAAGAAAAAGAAAGAAAACCAAACCAAACAAGCTAATTTTTCCCTATTATGTCCCTAGAATTACAGTCCTCTTTTCAAAAAAAATATTTTGCCATGTGTGAAAAAGCAGTCAAATAGTATCAATGTCAATTCCAAATCCTATGAATCAATGTAGATGTTCATAGGGAACAGAACAAACCACAGCCATGAATTCATAGTTCAACACAAGATGCCAGGACTACTGGATCAAAGCAACATAAATTTCTAAATAATCTGTTTACCTTATTAATGTCAGTTACATTGGTTAGCATGGTTTTAATGGTTTCTCTCATTATCTACTGATTTTTAGAAATGGTGTTGATAGTGCTTACAACAGCAGAATTCTGGACCTGCATCCTGTATGCCAAGACCACCAGTCCTTCAAAAGTACTGGTTATTAGATGCTGGTTATTAAAAATAAGTAGCCACTGCCATTAGACTCAACAATCCCCAAGAATGAACAGGAGACTAGATGTTGCTGGACAGGTTTACCCAGCAAAAATTCAACTAGCTGTATTCCTGTTCACTGCAAAAGCAGAAAGGAACTGTTCCAAGGGTTCCAGGCTCTCCTACAGTTTAGACATTCAGGTCTTCAGAAATGGGCAGGTACACATCAAGGTGTACACAAATGCCAGGACCACACCACCCTGCTGCTGCACCCACAGTTCTAACAGGTAGCTGGTTTTCATCTTCAGGATGCATAGTCCTGTTCATCTCTGTGAGAACTTCAGATACGCAATAAATAATGTACACAAAGAAGGTTGCAATCTGTAGAAACTCTCTTACTTGTAAAGTGTTTGTATCCCATATTTTCAAGGTTTTATCAAATGAGCTCGATGTAAACATGCCAGTGTCATGAGGATACCACTGGACTGTCTCCACACTGAATTTATGTACATCAGGATGGCTCCTAAAATCAAGGAAAATATTCCAACTGGTTAAGAGCTTTGATAATCATCTTGTGGTTGTCTTGGCATTTGATGACAAGTTGAAAACATAAACATTTTTCTTAATTTGTCCTGGGGTTTTCAAGAAGAACTGTATTTTTGTTGGCTTGATTTTCATTCAACTAATATTCATTACTTTGAAGAGTCTTCATTTCAAGAAACTACAGATCATTACCTTTTCAAAATATGGTAACTGTAGCATATCTCAAGATACTCATAAAGCATAAAAACCGTCTTTTGAAGTATTTAAGTTGCAATGTTTACAAATCTTATGTTAAATGTGATGGCTTAACACTACCAACCATTTATGCTTCTTAGAAATGGAGCCACTGAAAAATACAATCACACATACAATTCAAAAAATTCATTAGTATTAACGAATAATTACAGCTACAAAGTTATTGGCAATTCCTGTCTGACAAAGTCACCAGAGAGCAGTCAGCTAAATTACTGAGTCATTTATATTTGCATTCAGAAATCAAAGAGGAAGAACAATAGGAAACTTTCAAATGAACTATGGATATTTAGAGACTGCAATACAATTAATAATTAACTGTGGCAGAAAGAACGGACAGCAGAGCCAATCTTGACAGCTCCAAGATACAGACTCAACTGACCAGGCTCTGAATAATGTATGTCATTCAAATACCTGGTAGATGACTCATATCTGAGCTGGATACACATGGATCCAGCTTCAGGGACCCAAAACTAGCTGTTTGCTTACTCTACCCTCTGCAGTGGGATGAGGGAGGGCATACAAATGGTGAAGGTGTGAAAAGTTGTGGATTGAGAAAAATACATTTTAGTAAGTGAAAGGGAACAAATCAAAACAAACTCTGTGAACCCAGGGAAAAAACAAACAAACAAAACAAACCCCCCACTGAAGGAATGTGCCCCCTGTTGATGGAGTGACAAAACTGTCTTTTGTTCCCTCAAAAGGAAAGACGCCTAGAAATTTCTCTCCTGGATTAGATGAAAAAGCTACTTAATAGGCCTAGGGGACATCATCTCAAACTTAAGGATAGCTAATTGGACAGAAGCCAAAAAGTCCCACCTGGGCAATTTACTAAAAAAAGAAGTGAACAAAGAAGCTAATCACTATTGTGAGGTGTTTTACCAAGAGCAAGAACCTCTTGCACCTGCCTCGGTTTTTCTCTATTTGTTATTTTGCCTTTTATTAAACCTGTTTGTTTCCAACACTGCAACAGAAGCCATCCTGCTGATTTCTAGGCCTCCAAGGGTAGCTAAGCTATCTTGGGTGTGTTATAGACCTCCAAGAGCTTATGAGACCTGGCTTGAAGAAGCTACTATAACACCCAACCAGTGAAGTGATGCAAAAGTAACCCCTTACCATAGGCTTAGATGGCTGCACATGGCATTTTACGGTACGGAATATCAGTATGTCTCTGGTCAATGTAGGTCAAGTCTTCCAGCTGTTTCCTCATAGCCTACCGTCCACCCCCTATGGGGGCAGTGAGGAATGGTGATAGCCTTGACACTACCAAGCACTGGTCAGCACTCCCTAAAACATCAGTGTGCTATCAAGACTGGTTACAAGTCTGAAGCATACTACTGTACAAACTATAACAAAGGAAATTAAATCCATCCCAGCTAAATGCAGTACTTCTGGCAAAACTGCAGCTAGAAAAGGCTCCATGATATTTCATTATGTCAGCTCTTATCTTTGCATTGTTCTATCAAATGTCATAGCCTCCACAAGCAGTAAGTATTGCAGGGGTATCATTATGCAAACAGAGATGCAGATCTTCAATACTGCCACATAAAGAAGAGTATGCACTTCTCAGTGTACCTATGCCTGGCCTAAATTTGTCTACAGCAGCACTGCATAACACTACCTTTTAAAGGCAGGAGTGGATCACCACAAAGGAAAATCATCACCTTTCACCTCAGAAGGGGATTAAACTTCTCAATAGGCTGCTGACATCTCAATATGCTGAATTCAAAATAACTAAATGCATGACAACAGTCTTACACACTGTTGTAAGCTGTATGTCGAAGTGGATTATGCTGAAGGGAGAAAACCATACATACTTGCTCTTCTAAACATGAGTGTTGGCATACCTTTAAAATATCCCATCCAACTTGTGATTTGTCTTTGAACAGACCCAAACTCTTGACTGAAAGAGGGCCTTCAACTCAAAAGTGCTGAAGTGCCATTTTTAACAACTCAGCCTCAGCTGTTTATCGAACTGCCTCCTCACACTTATAACATTGGTTCCTCCTCAGTCAAGAATACAGGTCAACAGTAAATGTTATTTAACTCAACACAGTCTCTCAAATAAGTTGAACTGTTGATGCAGAATAAAGTTTCCACAATCCAATCAGCTCACTCACTGCTCCTGAAAGCCTCTTACACATGATGGACAGAATGGCTGCATAAACAAACCTCACTTCCTCTAGGCAAACCAGGAAGGACGTGACTGGTATCCTGGGAACAGGATGGGGAGCTCTAAACAGCAAGACTCTGACTTATTAAGGAACAAAACTAGTCACAATAAATAGTGACTTAAATAAGCTGAAGCATCCTCTATGATCTTCCCTTTTGGCTTTCAGAACTAATCAATGGTTTCAAATGGATATATTACTTCAGTGGGAGGATGTTAATGAAAAAGACCATCAATGATCACAGATGCACTTAGCATAGTCCAAACCAACGTTTCTTTAGCACTTACTTCTATGCAAGCTCAACTATGGATGCACTGATGACAGCTACAATCACAAGGGAAGACAAAGAAACCATTACTCATTGAAATTTGAGAGGTAATTTGGGATAATACAACTGAATTTCAAAGGAATTCCAGCTCTGCTGGTACTTAGTCAATTTTACCTATGATTCCATCGGCAGCACAGCCACACCTTTTGTGTTAACATAAGACAATGCTTCACTAGATGATATATACCCAGTCATTGCATTAGGATTAAACCACAACAGAACTATACTCATCCTCTGGAATATAGAGCATGGGCCTGAAAAGACAGAAATAAATGGAAGACTACTGATGCCAACATTGAATGAGGGCAACAAGGATACATTTGTGAATGTAACAATATCAAAACCTAAGTCATTTGTCGTGACACTGAGCAAAATATTTCTCATTTTGAGATTCATCCTAATGAAAACTTGGAAACCGTGTATATTGGTAAAGGATGGGCTTTCTATGACACCCTCTTGTGATTTTGTATTTCTGGACAACATTACTGTAGATACAAGTAATCACTCTCATATTTGTACTATAACTTTGCCAACATGTAATTTAAGTATGTAATTAAAGTTATTCAGCTCCTATTGTATCCTGTTAAAATATTAGAATCTAATTATACTCTGATTCAAGATTGCAGCCTACTCCCATTGGTATGAACCTCAGGCTGCTAAAGAAATTATAGCATGAAGACCTGAGCTGCTTGTTGAAAACAAATGCAAAAAAATGGACAACAGACTTTGTTTACTGTCCATCATGATGTGGAAGAAACAAATCACATGATGGAGTATGTGAATTAAGTGGTGGGACATCCTTTTTGGATGGTCACTAAAAGCTACCAGAATTCTCACCAGTGCTTCACCCTGTTGTCATGTTGTTGATAGCAACTCTTTTGCTTTTTGTTGTTATAATCATACTGTATGTTAAGATTTGGATATTTATGAAACAATTAGCCTGTTGGCTACCCTCAGTAATACCAGATAACCACACACTAGAAATATATTAGATGATCTGCACTGTATAAAAGTGTGAAACATTCTCAAATTCTATTTGGATATTGTGAAGTTTGAGTGACTAGTCATGGGTGGATTATGTGGAAAGACGGCTGGGGGTAAAATGGGAGGAAACTGAGAAGCTATATTCACATCCTAACAGAAGTTATAATGATACAGGAATTATAGGGTAAAGTGCAGTTGCTTCTTCTGGATGGAATGTGGTGAGCATGACTGAAAGCTATTCCACAATGATTCCCCATACAAAACAGCCTGCAACCTCAACCACCTGCTAAGGGGGATGAAATGGGAGTGGAGCCAAGACACCATGGCCCACACCATTGAAATCCCTGCAGGAAGGGGTACTTTGTATCTGACAAATCACATATCACCTGTTCCCCAAGGGAGAGAGTAGTAGATGTCTTTCCTTTGAACCAGCAACTGTGGTGAAATAGCTCTCCGTAGATGAAATTGGTTCATTATAATCTAACTGTAATTCTAATACAGACCCCCAACCCAAAGTTCAGAATCACGGAATATTCTCAGTTGGAAGGCAGACACAAGGATGATCAAGTCCAACTCTTAAGTGAATGGCCCATACAGGAACCAAAACCACAACCCTGGCATTACTAGCACCATGATCTAATCAACTGAGCTAACCTCAAATTACCCACCTCCAGGGTAAGATCACCCTTCACTGAGCATGTGCTCTGCATTTTATTGACTGTAGCTTTAAGAGCAAAGGGAGAGAATTTTACACCATTTAGTGACAAAGGTACAATACATCAAGCTCCAAATAAACATAATGAAATAGTACAAAAGTAAGTCAAAAATTGCGAAGTTAGGGAAGATTCCATTGTAACTTTTGGGATCAGCCAACAAGGCAATCTGTCTTCGTCCCCAGAGGAATGCCTGTTAGTAAGAACCCTACTCTATACGCATTTTATTAGGGATTAAATCTTGTCTGTATATTGGTCTGAATGTGTGTTCACAGTCAGAAACTATCACTGACAGGCCTCAAACCTTAACCTGTCACAATTTTCTCTCATTAATAAATAATGTTATTCCATAGTTAGAGTGAGTCCTTCATGGACACTGCACACACTGGCAGTGGGTAATGTACTTGGACAAAGTGGGAAACCCCGCTGAGGGGGTCTCTCTTATGCTGTTGGTGTGTGTCCCTGAACAAGTCAGTTGAACCACCCTCTGATCCTGCAGGACTATTCAGTGAAGGGTCCCTATAAGAGGGTGCTGAGGGGCTGGTTGGACGCAAAGGTCTCAGCTTTTCCAGGGCAGTGACAGACTAATCTAACACTAGGGGTTGAGGAAATCTTCCCTTTTCACACGACATCTTATAGTTCTGATTTCATCTGAGCTAATAAAACTTCCTGCTCACTTGGGTTGCTACAAAGCAAAAAAGACACCTTTAAGGAGAGTTAGCCTGAAGCCAGCACTGACAATACTAAGCAAGAGATATTGAGCAACTTTTGAGCTTAGTTTAATGACTTCTGCATTGCTCCTCCACCTCTGACGCATATCCTAGAATGGCCTGTCACTCTGGCACAGTGCTAAAAGTCAACAAATTTTTTGCCTCTATTCTTCAGGGAGGTGTGCTGGTTTTGCCTGGAGTAGAATCAATTTTTTTCACAGTGCCTAGCATGGGATACATTTTGGATTTGTGCTGAACAGAGTTAGTACATAGGGATGCTTTTGTTATTGCTGAGCAGGGCTTACAGAGAGCCAAGGCCTTTTCTGCTTTTCATACTGACATGCTGGTGAGGCAACTGGGAGTGCCTGGGAGGAGCCAGGACAGGTGACCCCAGCTGACCAAAGGGATATTCCAGACCATGTGACATCAAGCTCAGTATATAAAGCTGGGGGCAACAAGGAAAGAGGAGGAGACACATTTGAAATGATGGCGTTTGTCTTCCCGAGTAACCATTATGCCTGATGGGGCTCTGCTTTCCTGGAGATGGCTGAAAAAGTGAATTAATTCTTTGGTCTGCTTGTGTTTCAGCTTTTGCTTGCTCTATAAAACTATCTCAACACAGGAGTTTTCTAGATTTTACCCTTCCGATTCTCTCCTTGGATCCCACTGGTAGGGGAATGAGCAAGCACCTATGCAGAACTTGGTTGCTGGCTGGAGTTAAACCATGGCAAGCAAAAAATCTTCAGTACCTGCAGAGCCAGGAAATCAAGCATGACTCAGAATGAGCTTACTTCTGGAGTAGCATTTCCATGCACTGTGCAGGAAAATTTAAACCTATGGAACTAATTATCTGGGTACAGTAACTAGAAGTGTACAACATTGGACTGTAATCAACTCTGCACAAGAACAATCAATTCTCCCATAATCCACAAGGCTGAGGAATGAACTAACAAACTCTTGAGTAGCTCTGCAGGAACCACCTTTGAACTAGCTAAGCTTAGTAGTGGCTACATGCCATTCAGCCTAGTTTCATGTTTCAGGATGTACATCATTCCCAGTTCATTCCATATGAAGTAATTTCATCCATTACTCAAAATATCCCAGCCTTTTCTGCCAAAGACAAATACAAATAATTCTATGGATAATAGGTCACTGTCATTCATTCTTCCTAGACATAGTTTTGAGTAGTAGAGACTGCCTTAAAGATAAGCATTATCTGCATATTATCTAGAAATGGTATTGTTTGTTTACACTCAAACGCCAGTTTTTGTCCCAGGTCAGCATGAATCATATGAAACCAGGTAAAGCTCTTTGTGCTGACTCCCAGGAAAAGTTTTATTTTTGTATTTGCAATAGTAGCCTTATATTCCAGACTTGAAACACAGGGTAAATCACAGCCTACCACCAGGAATTACCTCTTTTGTTGTTCTATACTACTGGATCTTCAGGAAGCCCAGTTCAGGTATTAAGAAACAGCTTTAAAGGGCCTTTAGCAGGATATTCTTTAAGCAACTTTGAGACCAGACCTATGTTCTGCCCTGCAATCTTGGAGACAACAGGGAAACTTTTCACACGACATCAGCACTATATCCCTCAAAGATAGGAGCTAGACAGTCAGAGGAAGGTGCTTCTGCAGTATAAATTCATATATTAAGTCAGAACTCTGAAAAATATTCAAAATATCTGAAGATATATATAAACAGTAGCTAATTAGTTAGCAAGTATTTAAAACATACTAGGAAGCTTAATGAATACCACAAATAAATAATTGAGGAAAGAAATCTACTAAGATTATTTAAGAATAATAATCATAAGCCTGTTATTTAGAGCAGTGCCACACAAAATTGAATTCTACTAACAAAATTCATGCCTTGAGTGGTAAGAAATAAAAGACCCAGCTATGCAAATTAACACCTACTCAAGAAACAGATAACCAACTAACCATACTCCTAAACAAAATCTTCAAGGATGGATTATTTCTACTGACCTAACTGAAGTTAATGATAGCCTGATTTTAACACAGATTTGATAGCTTTTACATTGTGCCTTCTTAGCATGAATTTCTTCAATTTGCTGCATCTGTTTCAGACTTCATCTCAGTTTTGAAATTTAGAGATATATAGTCATTATATGTCCTTAACCACAATTTAAAATAATTTTGTGCAAGAAGCCCAGCGATCAGGACTTGTTCTGTTAGCTATGTTCTGTTAGCCTTTTTCTTTCCTATGATTCAAGATATTGTTCAGGCCTTTTATTGTTACAAATCTGTTCTGTTCTTGTATAGCTGACTCATGAAGCCTCTGACTCTTAGACCTCAAATAATTTGTAGACTGGGAAAAAATAAGGGGAAAATGCAGCTACCAATCTATTATGAAATAAAATATCTCTTACTGTGAGTCTTAGGTGAAGTTCTAACCTACTAGACAAGCCTTTATCCAAATAAAGGAAAAAACAGCTTTTGCTAGAAGACTTAATGTCTGTAATGGAAAAATTTGTACTGCCTGCAGGGACAGCCTGACAAATCAATAAAGGCTTAGGCTCTGTATAAAGATTGCACACAGCATGGTAGTACCCTGTTCTTTGGAAAAATACATCCCATTTTTTCAGTAGCACACCTGTCTCCATTCGAACATGTTCTTAAGAAGTTTTGTACAAATCACTTCTGTACCTGCTGAACACCTGATGAACTAGTAAAGCAGGAAAGAGAGAGAGGGGTAATAAAACAAAGAACTGCAAATAGGTGTTAGATTTTTCTCCAAACAGATGAAAAGGATTATGCAAATAATTGCATAATAATCCTGCTTAAAAGTGCATTTACTCAAATATATGTATTATATATATTTGAGGAATACAGGGAGTATTTCTACAGCAGTACCAAAAGTTCTTTCTCAGTTGCTGGCTTAGAGGCATCAAATTTCAAAACATTAAGAAAACTCACAGGTCAGAAATTATGAGTTAGAGGAAGGTCTGGGTTTCTTTTTTTTTTTTTCCCTGTCTTCTTTTTCTAGAGTTAAAATATGGGGTTAGAATACCCAGGTCTGCCTTCTTTTTGTGGTCTCTACAGCAATGTAAGACTGTCTAACTTTAGTTTCCGTGTGAGTACAACTGATATCCTTCATTTTAACTTCTGAAATTGCTAGAGATTTGCTCAAACAATACCAGAGTCACTGTATATATATTGGAACTATTAGAGTAGACAAATCAAGAATAAAACAATTAGCTCCTGCTACTAGCCTTCAAAGATTTCTAGCAGTATTTTCTACAGTCTTTTTATCCTAAAAATAAAAACAGCCATTAATTTGCAAGTTTAATTCTAGCCACACAAGAACTACTTGTACTTTTAAAAGACTTTCAGGGAACTTACCTTCCAACTGAAAAAAGTGCCTTACATGTGTAACTTGGCTTCCTGCTCAAGTTTTCAAGGTCATAAAGTACAATAACGCCATCTGATCCACCAGATAACATGCTGAAAGTGTTAATGAAGCACAGAAGTTAAAACACTTATAATTGCAATATGCTCAATATAATGAACGTGTTCAACAAGACAACAAATCCATAGTACCCAAACACAATGAATTACTTATGGACATTTCTACCAACCAAAGTATATACTTACTATCTTCCCTCAACAGGCTCAATATCAAGGGTGTTGATACCGCTTCCGTGTATTCTTTCCACATCTCTATCTTTATTTAATTCCAAACTTAAAACCCTACCCACAACAAAAAGGAAGAAAAAGAGATGAAAAACATGTTATTAGGAAAAAAAATGTTATTATGTAGCTCTGAACAGCTGAACCTAATTTCATGCTCCTTCAATGCATTTAATTTATTCTTGCCAATTTTTGCAAAACTACACAATACAGAGATAGAAATAAGTCTTGTGAAGTTGGCAGAAAAAAATACTTTGTTGTTTGGAAGGTAAGAGAGAAATAAGTACATAAAACGGGCTCAAAAAAAAGGCAAAACTGCATTTTGGGTCAACATATTAAACAAAACCTGGAATGTAATTTGAAAACACTAACACAAAGAAACATTAAGAAGCTTGTAATCACCACGCATACTGGCTACTTTCAAGCTTCATCATGTAGCATCCTTTCAGGCTTCATCCTGCTTGAAACTACGGACACCTAGTGGACAAAGTAATTTAGTTTACCAAGTTTAGAGTATTTCCTTTAATGAAATGAAGTTTGTATGCAACGTTTTCTGAAATACTAAATAAAAACTAGGCAACTCCCAATGATGAAGCTTCCATGACAATATTTTCTGACCTGCAATTCTTAGCTTGTATTTTTGAATATGTTAATATTGCATAGTCAAAAAAGAGATATTCTGCTTCATTAAGTCATACTACCTGATAGAAAATTTAACCTTGCAACACAATCAGAGCCTTCTACAGCACCATTTAGCAAAGCTCAACACCACCACAACAAAAATATAACTAGGTAAGTAAGTGAAAAGCTGTAAGGCAGAGTGCCCCTACTCAGCTTCAGCTCAAGGGGCAAAAAATCCTGATGTGAGAACCTTAGGCTGCTACAGGCAGGCCCCCATCATCATGTCTGTAGACATGCTATAAAAGCAGCAAATCATTTAAGCTCTCTTAAACTATGTGAAACATAGTTATGCAAGAATTCACCTAGAATAAGAATTCTGACATATACAAGACACCCAATTTAAAACCTTTGAGTTTTTGAGTTCCAGATGGAATTTCAGGAAGCTAGAAATCCCCCTGTGGAAATGTGTTGAAATATATGACTTCAAAATGCAGCTATAAATAAAATCCATTTAAGACTACCTTTTTTTTTTTTTAAGTCAAAATAAAAAAGTTCAGGAAGGGAAATGCTACGCAGACAATTGTCCAAGAAAGGTTAAGTTCGTCCGGTGGGTTACTGTTCTTAACACTGAATGCTACATGAGGGCTGAGGGCACAGAGGGACATTACTATGTTGTCAAAATGCACCCAGAAACAAGCTTCCTGAGCTACCAAAATTAATTTCAATTTTAAATACTTTTTTACAATGATACAGCGTCATAAATCCATAAATCGTCACCATAAACGCAGAAGTTGTGGAACTGAACTAAGATAGGCTTTATTTGATTTATCTTGAAATACATCTGCAAAGTAGATTCTCTGGTATTGAAAAAATCTCACATTATAACCTCTAGCAGGAATATTAACAAATCCGTGTATGCTGCCACCACTTCCCCCAAAAACTGCTAAGAAACCCCCTGCACCTGATTCTTCTTCAACCTGCTAAAAGGCCGGGTTTGGGAAAAGGAAGGACGAGCAGAGGAGGGCACAAACATGTGTTTGTTCCAAGCGGGGCACAGCCGCACGCAGTTCGAGCCCCTGGAGGAGCCGCGCCGACCGCACGGGCGGTAACTCCGCGGTGCGGGGAGCGAGGCACAGCTTACTGCGCTGTGCACACTCCGCCCAGGGCTGAGCACACCGTACACAAACACCAGGCCTGCCGACCCACGGCGGCAGCTCCCCCGCCCCGGCCGCCGCGCACACGGGGGCTGCTGCAGCGCAGCCCCTCACCCCGCCCCGGGCCGCCCCACTGCGGGCCGGGCCAAGCGAGGCTCCGCGGCAGGGCGGAGCCAGGAGCTGCCGCTCCGGGGCCTCCCCGCGCAGGGACACCCGCCCTGGCCCCGCTACCTCCGGGTGCGCTCGGCCCGGCGCAGCCGCGCGGGGTCGTCCAGCCCGGCCTGGCGAGCAGCCATGAGCCCCAACATGGCGGGAGCGCCCGACCCGCTCTGCGCCGCGCCGCCATCTTGTGGCGGGCGCAGCCGGGATTGGCTCGGGGCGGGCTGGCCCGCGCCAATGGCCAGCGGCGTTGCTGGCGCGCCCGGCGCCCATAGGCGGGATCGGCCGCGCGGGGCGGGGCGGCGCTGCGCAGCGGCGGGCGCGAGGCGGCGGGGGCGGGACGCAGCGCGCCCTCCGTGTTCCCGTGTCCCGGTGTCCGTGGGCGGCGGTGCCGCGGCCTTCCCGTCGGGATCCCGGCATGAGCCGCGCCTGGCAGGCTCTCCGCGCTCTGCGGTTGCGGCTCGTGGGGCCTGCCAAAGAGCTGGTGGGCACCGACCAGTTTGGCAACAAGTACTACCGGGTGCCCAAGTACGAGAGCCGCGCAGGTACGCACCGGGGCGGCGGCGGCTGGCGGGTCCGCGGGGAGCCGTGCGCTGCGCCCCTGAGCGGCCCCTCACCCACCCGCCGCTGTCCGCAGCCGGCGGGGCGGCTGGACGGCGGCTGATAAAAAATTATAGCGGCTGAACTGTAGCGGGAAGGAAAGTGCCGCGCTTCGGGAAACACGTGCGGGTTTCTGGTGCTCTAATGCCAGAAAAACCGTAAAGCCACTCACTGGAGGGTTTCAGAGCGCAGCCTGTACTAGGTAGGTAGGCAGCAATTATTTGCTCTTCTTGGTAATTCGGAGCGCTTCTGCATAAGCTTTTAAAAGCTAGAGTCCAGAGGTGGGCAGTAGAGCAGGGGCGGGGTCTGGAGCACAACCTCCTTCTGTGAGGAGCAGCTGAGGGAGCTGGGGGTGTTTATCCTGGAGAAAAGGAGGCTCAGGGGAGACCTTATCGCTCTCTACCACTGCCTGACAGAAGGGTGTAGCCAGGAGTTGGCCTGTCTTAGGCAACCCGTGACATAACCAGAAGAAATTCCCTCAAATTGCACCAGGGCAGGTTCATGATGGCCAACAGGAAGAATTCCTCCATGGAAAGGGCTGTTAAATATTGAGACGGCCTGTCCAGGGAAGAGGTGGTGTCACCATCCCTGAAATTCTTCACAAAACCACTGGACATGGCACTTAGTACTATGGTTTAGTTGACATGGTGGTGTTTGGTCTTAAGTTGTGCATGGTGATCTCAGATATCTTTTCCAACCTTACTGGTTATGTAATTCTGTGAAATTAATTCTTACATGTACATTTATCCCACTCCTGTAGAAAATACTTTTCTAGGTTTCTGCCCGTGTTCCAGGAGTTTGGATGCCCTTATTCTGTATGTAAATAGAGAATAGGAGAGTTTGTATGGGAAGTAATACTGCTGTGATTTTGTGAAAATACTACTTTTTACTACAGAAAATTCTGATTTTTTTTCTGTATATTTGTCACTCGTTCTGTATATTTGTCACTTGCTTTAGCTTGTTCTAAAAAATCTTAAGCATTCAGCATCAGTAGAATGACAGAATTCTGAAAGAAATAAGCATGCCTTCTGCTAACAAAGAAGAAATTGCTGTGATTTTTGTTTTTAATGAAAGTGTTCAAATGTTGCTTTTTCTGTAGCACAGCATGTAACAAAGTATTGTGCTGCTACAAATTTCATTTCTGTGACCTCTTATTTTGGATACCCATTTTCTTCCTCCATTTCCAGTTGAAATGACAGGCTGTCATCCACTTTCCCTACAAAATGGACTGCCTTGTGAATGTTCATTATTGTTTTAAGATATAGTGCTCCCTGACCTTTGTTGTTTGGGGTTACTTGGGTGTAGGAGATTGTATTTCCCCTCACACTGGTGACTCATTTCCACTGTAATTTATGCCTTTACTTCTGTGAATGGCCATCCTTGTGGTGCCAGTATAGAAAAGATAAGAGGTTTCATCTATTCCAGATCAGGAGAGTATGCCAGTTCTCCCTCAGGCTTGTGGCTGAGGAGAAAAATCATTCTGACACTAGTGAAGTGATTACAGATGGTTGCAACCACTGCCGTGGGTGATGGTAACCAACTGCCTCTCACAACATTTTTGAGCAGCATCCTGTGCTCTACAAACAGCGTCACACCTGGTATTTGTGGGCTTTAATAACTTTGTGAAGGAGTTTAAGGATATGGATTGCAAAGGTAATAGAGATTGAGGAAGGTCTATAGAAAGTAGAATTAAAATATACACCAAAAATTTCTGACGATTTCTTTTTAAAAGAAACTAGGAATTAAAAAGTGCTGAGAAAGCAATGCTCTCTTTTCAAGTGTTGGGCAGCATTATTTGTAGTACATTATATAATTCATATATATGAATGCATATATAATTCATAGCTCACCCAGTGTCCTAACCATATAGAGACCAGTGCAGGATAGGAACAACAGTAGAAAGAAAACGAGTTGTAGATGAGACCAGGGAGCTGTTATGTGCAGGTTTCACTGCAAGGTCACTGCAGTGTGTCTGCAGTGTGCTTTGCTCTCTGCCCTATGGATTTAGGGAGGACTGAGCAGGTCTATCACAGTGCCAGGCCTGATGTGCTTGATCACTTTGTACTGTACTGGATTTTGATCCAATATATTGCAGAGTGTGCAAAACAGGCAGGTCTTGCTTTCTCTCTCTTCACTTAGACTGGGTAGGTCTATCAGGACAGGCTGGGCTTTGTTTCAGACCAACATCCCACCTTAAGCTGGAGGTGAGAGTAAATAGAGTAGGTAGTGTTTGTGCCACCTCCTGCTTTGATCAAAAGCCATCTGACATCTTTCTTTTGGCCTGCCCTGGTCTTTGGCAGGGTTTTGGAACAGAAATAGTAGACAGTGTGATGCAAAGAATTAATGTTTTCTTTCTGTCTGTTGTGAATTGTGCTCTTCTACATTGAGTTCAGGGTCCAAAACACTTTTGGAACCTGAGTCCTTGTCTGTAGTAGGGGACAGTAGGAGCAGGTCAATGTATACAAGTAGTTGATGTTGAGTTTCCTAAGTGGTTGATGTTGTGTTTCCTTATACCTCCATCATCTGTGATTAAGAGAGTTTGCTTCTGAAATTTAGTCTGTTTTCCAGGACTGAATATCTGCAATATAGACTTCGGAGATGTCAAAGGGGTACAAAATTTTTAGGTATATGCTGCAAGTATGGCTTTCACATTGCCACAGCACCTAAAACGCTGTTATTTTTTGAAATGTTTTATGAATGAGGGTCTTCTTTAAAAAAAAGCAAGTTATGCACTCAAAAAACTACTTTGAAATCCAAGTCAGCATGTGGTAAATAAAGGCAGCACAGGATTAACAAAACTACTCTTGCTTTGGTTCAAGTTCCTACAGTAGATGTAGTCTCACCAATATCCTAAGGTCTTGGATGTCCAGGTCAAACTCAAGGTGTAGCAACTTTACCCTGAGACCACCTTTACCTCTGTCATCATTGGAAAGTTACCTCAAGTTCCTGATTTTGCCTGTCTGTGAGTAGTTAGGTTCTTAGATGAGCCAGCAACTTGAATAGGTTTTGTTGGGATGAAGGGAATAATTGTGGAGATTAAAGAAGTGTCAATGATGTGCAAGTACTGATTTAACATGTGTTTTGCCTTCGTTAAAAATGTTTTAATGAGTAATAGCAAAAATACATGAGTTTGCAAGAGTATTGTATTTCTCTGGGGTGAATATAGAAAGGATTGGCCTTCAGAAGTAGAGGGGAAGAATGATGTAAAGTAATGCTGTTTCAGTCTGGTTGTCTTATTTCTCTTGAAAGAGAGAAAGTGGATGTTCAAAGTCCCTAGACTGTAAGAGTAAGAAGTCATTAGATTCAGTAAAGAAAATAATGGTTAGAAATAGAAAAAGAGTTAAGAAAAATTTGAGTGCCAATATAGAGGGGAAAGATCCTAAAAAAGTAACCTTACTGCCAACAGGAATATGGGAGAATTCAAAATTAGAGTAGTTAATTTCCTGAAAGCATGAAACTTGAGACAAGGTACACTGTTTACTGTTTATCAAGAACTTTTTTTTTTCAAATGGGGAAGAGCCTATCATCTTGAAAGCCAGGTCACACCTTCAACAACATAGTAAGATGGGCTTATGTGAATGTAAAGATGGTTCTGTATTTAATGACGTTCTGTAAGTGGTGGGTTTTTACAGGATGATCCTAAAGTGATGACAGTGATAAAATCCAACTCTACCAAGCTTGTCATGAGAGGAACATCCAGCATAACTCATTAACTCTGAGATGACTCTTCAGTTGGTTATAATAAAAGATGGGAATAGATGACTGAGTAGTAGTGATCAATGACTCATTTCAGTATCTTGGACAAGTACTTCACTAAACAGACTAGACTTATCAGTGTAAGTAATTTGTTTTTCTTTTATAACATACTGCCAGGCCATTGCCATAGCTTTGGTACATGATTAATTGTTCTTGCAGTAGAACATGGAGTGGGACGTAGAGTGTTCATATATTTTTAATTGAAAAACAAATTCCTCATACAATTTATGCATTTATTACAACCAAATATGTCTTGCTGGAAATAGCTGATTCTATTTTCCATTGAAAATAATTTATAAAGACTCTTAATAACCATTTTAGTTTAAAAATGCAGGAAGATAAGGGGCTGGTATGATTTTTTCATCAAGATCTGGTATATGATTTTTTCATCAAAAGGCTGAGCAGGTTATATTTGCACATTTTAAATATCTTCATTTGCACTCATGTATTGTAATTATTAAGAGTTAAAATGAGCACTGTAAAGTACCACCATATGCAAATTTTTATAAGAACAGTGGGTTATCGTCAAGAAGTCAGCTTATTTCATAGATGATGTAGGAGTGTTAAAAGTTCTCTTCGTGGGAGCAGCAGACTCAAGTTTGTTTTGATTTGGACTATCAGCATACCAGAATTGCTGGAAAAAGCAGGAAGCATTCTGTTTTCCATAGGTTTTTATATGTTGCATAAGCTCTGAATTAGGGGCCATATGTGGCCTAAGCTTCTGATGCTATGAGCTAAAGTTTCTCAGTAGTCTTATCAAGTACCATTGAGAAATACATGTGGCATTACCAAGTTTCAGTGGTAAATTTTGTTGCTAATAATTGAATACAAGCGCTGACTTCTGTGGGAAACATTTTCTTCATGTGAAGTGCCCACTCACATTTGCATAAGCCTGTATCTTGTGCAGTAAATTCTCAACAAACCAAAAATGTGTAAATAATTAAGAACCTATATAAGGAAAAGCACTAAGTATTCAGTTGCATTATATATATGTATAAATTGTCCTATATCTGATTGAATCCAGTCTTCAGTAGAGGTATGTACATTTTTAATGAAAGTTAGAAAGACTTAAGGTTCTGTTGAGACTAAAGGAATCCTCCATGATAGTTTTAGTTGCTCCGTGTTTTCTGTTTTAGGTAGTGGCCTGTCACCTTCCTTTGCATCAGGAGTTTAGAGTAGAATTTCTACT